TTCTGAATGGTCTCCCAAGTTTTCTGGATCTCCTTCTCTGATAGCTGAGACTGTGAGCAATCATTCATTAGGAAGGGGTTGCATCCTGGGATGATGTCATCTCAGGAATTTTTATTGGTCTGAGAATGATGAGAAATATCCTTCTCTTTTATTAAGTTAGAACCGATTGGCATACGATCCCATCTAGCATATTTGTGTATTTAACGAATAATCAAATATCTAGAAATATTTAAGAATGGGTAAGATTACTATATGCCTAATGAGATTCCTTATCCTATGCAGAAGATGCGACAGTGGACCTTCCACACAAGAAAAACAGTGAGTGTAGAGCGTATTGGTCGAGGCCTTAAACTAGGTATGGAGAGACAGAGATTCCCCACTTTGGACCAGATATTCTGTCTAAGCCCAACATACTTCACAGGACTTCTGTTGTGTGTGTGGGGGGGGGAGGAAGTGCTATGTATGCACTCTGATCTCTTGAACTCAAGGTGGGATATAAATCTAATACATACATAAATAAAAACCCTAATCAGTCCTATAATTGAGTAACTTAGGGTCCTTATAAACAATTTCAGCTACCTTACTAATAAGTCGATTCCTACACAACGGAATATTTTAACCAGGTTCTAATAAAACACTATAATCTTTATTCAACTCCCTGTCCTAGGTTTTTCTTCTAGGTGTAATATTTTGTTTATTTTGTGGCAATTGAAAAAGCAGACACTGTGTCAACTATGCCAACCTACCCAGAAAGTTAGATTGATAGCTATTTGTCCTCGTTTTGGAAAGCTACCCAAAGTGTGTTACACCAAAAGAAATAAAGCACAGTGTGTGAAGTAATACAATTTATATCCATAACATAGGTAGTCCTTGACTTATGAACACAACTGAGCCCAAAATTTCTACTGTTAAGTGAGACATTTGTTAAACGGGTTTTGCCCCATTTTACAACTTTTCTTGCCACAATTGTTAAGTGAATTCCTCAGTTGTTAAAGCTAGTAGCACGGTTGTTAAAATGAATCTGGCTTCCCCATTGACTTTGCCTGTCAGAAGGTCGTACAAGGCGATCACATGATCCCAAGACTCTGCAAACGTCGTAAAGATGAGTCAGTTGCCAAGTGTCTGAATTTTGATCACATGACCGTGGGGACGCTGCAACGGTCGTAAGTGTGAAAAATGGTCATAAGTCACTTTTTTCAGTGATGTTGTAACTTTGAACAGTCACTAAGTGAACTGTTGTAAGTCGCGGACTACCTGTACTGCATATGTGGTAGCTGATTCCTAACATGCAGGAATCATCAACAATACACCGACGTGGGAATCAATCACTCAGTCTCCTCATTCCCAACAACTGCTTTACACATTAAACATTTTAATTAAGGAAGTGCTCTCTCTCAAGTTACATTTGTGATAACCCAACGTAACATAGGCAGAACAATGAAAGACATATTCATTGGAGGAAAGGAGGGAAATAAGAGGTGGTAACGTGTCATCAGCTGAAGCATTCCTGACGTTCCCTCTGAAGCCTAGGTATCTGCATGCAACAGCTGACAAATCCATGCAGCTGAACCTTCTTACACATCATCTCCACATTGCATGTTTAAAGGGCAGAGTCCTAAATCATCTCTGCACACCAAAAAAAAAAAAAAAGCAGGGCATGAAAAGGAAGGTTGGAGTAAAAGCATTTCATGCCTCTGTCCTCCTCAATCTGATGAAGTCCAAGGGGCAAGAAAACTGCAAGGTGATGTAGTGCAGGGGTCTTCAACCTTGGCAACTTTAAGACTTGTGGACTTCAACTCCCAGAATTCCTCAGCCAACTTTGCTGGCTGAGGAATTCTGGGAGTTGAAGTCCACAAGTCTTAAAGTTGCCAAGGTTGAAGACCCCTGATGTAGTGAACTGGATGCCACAGAAGAATCAATCCTCCCTGAATCCCCCAGTGATATTGTTGTGATGTTGGATGCATTAGGATAAAATTTGGGCAAAATCCTGGAAGACAATTAGAATCTTATACGCAAAAACTAAAAGAAATTTTAAAAGCCAAGCTGTTCTTATCCCTATTAAGCAGTAGTCTAAATGCTACTTACTATTTTAAAAAATGGATTCCCTTCACATATAGATACAAACCAATAAAAATATACTTTCTGTTGCAAACATATTTTCACAAAAATGAGTTAGAGCAACAAAATCTCTTTCCTTTTTTCCCCCCTCTTGCTTTCTTACATATTTTCTAGCAAATGCCTCTGGTCTATCAACTGTGCAACACTAAATTCAAGACAGATGAAGGAACCAGATTTTAGCTCGTTTCAACAGGCTAAAACATTTGCAGGAAAATTCTTTGGGATATAAAACACAAAATTAGTAAAGAACCAAAATAAATGTAAATGGAAGTGAATGTTTATCCTACTGCATTAGGGGGGTAAACCAAATATTTACATTCTAATTCCTCTTCATCCAAAGCAGTTCAGAATTGTAATCAAACATGTTTTAAATGTATCCCAAAAAGCATCACATCTAAATGTGACTGTTGGAAGCAACGGTATTTCGAGAAGCCCCAATTCACTGCAATAAATACAGATTTGCTTTTGTCAGGTGTGAAATAGTTTTAAGCCAACATTTTGAGAAGGACGTTTGATTCCCTCTTTTACAACAAGCCAAGCTAGCAGGAAAGGCTTCAATTACAAATTGAGTAAATGATGGTCTAATGAGCAAACTCTTACCCCAAAATTAGGTTGCTCATTTCCCAAACTAGCATAGTTTTATATTTCTCCTAAAAGATTCAAGGCTTGGTATGTCATCTTTACATAGTCCTCCCTGAAATGGGCACTTTCTAGATGTAGGGCACGACAAGTCTCATCATCCCCAGCCAAGGGTCTGTAGCTTGATAAATGTGGAAGTTGCCAGGTTTGAAAAAGTTGTCTTAATGCTGAACCCTGGGATATCTAATGTATCCCATGGGATATCCAAGTAAAAAGAGCTCAAGAAAAGAGAAGTTTTCATCAAGGTTTCTCTAGATTCCTGCCGTTTGATGCTTGATACCATGACCCGGGGATTACTATATCAAATCAGTTAAGATTGCATAGAGCCTAAAGTGATTGCTTTCCCCTCCAACTACACTGATGTATATTTCTGTCTTTTCCCATTATTCTGTCATGTTAAATGGGGGAAAGTGCACTTACCTAACTGCGAATGTACTGTTTGTCTGTGAAGGTTTATGCTCCTAAAAACTGTTTTGGAGAAATGTAAAGTTTACTAGTGTGTTGTGGAAAACAGATGTGGTTGCAATTGGTTTACGGAGAACAGAAGCTCAAGGACCATAATCAGTGTCTTTGTTTAGAGAGAGACAGCTGGAATGCAAAGATTCAGTCTATTGTCCCCAACAACATTTGTGCAAGGTAAGCCACTGAATGTGATCTTATCTGCTCTCCGATACAAACCTGGGCAAACATGTGAAAATAGGAAGGAAGGAAAGGAAAGGAAAGGAAAGGAAAGGAAAGGAAAGGAAAGGAAAGGAGGAAGGAAGGAAGGAAGGAAGGAAGGAAGGAAGGAAGGAAGGAAGGAAGGAAGGAAGGAAGGAAGGAAGGAAGGAAGGAAGGAAGGAAGGAAGGCATTATAGTGTTATGACCAAGCTGTGCCTTTTGGGGAGCATGTATGCAATGTCATGGCCCATATAGAAAAGGGGCTTGCATCAGTAACACTGTAGGCATCATTTTGACTCGTCCTTCTCCTTTGCTCCCCTGTGGTTGCAACTGGAAAGGAGGGAAACAAAACCAAACTCAAGTGCTGGGCAAAAGACAAAGACCTATAAATGCAATTACCGAAAGTCTAAAATTTCACCGGGATATGGCTAAAAGAATGATAATCATGTAATTGAAACAACAGTACAGTACAAAGCTGATAACTATTTACATAGTCCACAAGCTCATTACTGATACAACACAAAATCCACAACAGCACTGAAAAAGCTTGGGATCCACATTCAAGAGTTTCAGAGCTAAAGATTCACAATGTCTTAAATTCCGTTAAAGCAGCGCTTTTCAAAAGTGTTTTGGAGAACCGTTGGATTTTTTTTCCAGATGGTCAACAGTGGCAAAATCAAAACAAAGCAGTCCCGCTCACAGTTGCTAATCTTGCTTTACAAAGTGGTATCTTCCAGATGTTTTAGGATCAAGACTCCTACCTTATCTTAAACCTAATCCCAACAGGGAATGCCAGATTAAGGCGACTATTCTTGGCTATGCAGGTTGAGAGTCTTAACCATGGTCCCACGTAAGCAGAGCGAGCACCTCAAAAGGCTTGCAACATGCAGATGGATTCCGTGGTGAACGAGGAGGATGTTTCGCAAAGTTTGAAAAAAAAAAACCTGCATAAAGCCTGACTACTCTAAAGAAGAATTTAAATTCACCATCTGGTAACAGCAGTGAATGTGAAGATATTTTTGATGACTCAATGAGGCATGATGTAGAAGCCAACACAAACGCAGAGATGTTAACAATGGTTTCTATAGCTAACTGTAAAATGTGTGATGGACACAATACGGGCATGATTTCTTTAGAGGAAGTTAACAAAAGAGTATGGAAAGCAAGATATGAATTATGCCCTTTTATATGCCCTTTCTTTTCTTTTAAACAAACAAAAAAAAAGCATTGCATTCCAAAATCCTTTTGTTGGGCAATCCGTATACAACAGAAGGCACTGTTATCCATAGGACCCCTTCAATTTCACACGGCAAAAACCTGAGAAGTGCAATTCCGTTCGGTTTCAAACAGCTGGTTCCCCCCTTTCCTAAGGAGAAGAAGAGAAGACAGATGCTTTCTTTTCAGTCCAACAACTTATAAAAATACCCACAAGAATTTATACATTACAGCAGCTGGTTAGAAAGAATGTCTTAATGAGGGGGAAGAGGGTCAAACACGGCCTTTTCCAAAGGGGAAACTTGCAGACCTCTTGATTACCTTCCCTGTTCATAAGTCACATTTTTTTTTAATAATGAAATGTTTTTGCAGTTCTTTAAAGCTCCTTTCCCCTTCAGTTGCTTCCTGGAGCAGTGCCAAAGTTATATCCAGAGACCAGTCCTTTGTTATCGAATGGGAAGCCCGTTTGTTGTTCTATCCTCTTTGATTCTAAATTGAAAAGAAACAAATGAATATTAAGAGACAGTCTGCAAATATGTCATCATGCACGACCAATGATACTTTCAATCTCTTTTTAACAGATACATTAACGATATGTAATTTCTGAAGACCCTCTAAATATGAGGAAAAGAATCAGAACTCTTTTTAAGAAGAAGAAACACACAGCTTTTTGGATTCCCTGTTGTTACCCCTTCTAGATCCATTATTCAACATCTTTAACTTGCAGAAAAGTTTTGAAAAAAAATCATGCAGGTATAGAGAACTAAATACTACAGGTAGTCCTCGACTTACGACCACAATTGAGCCCAAAAATTCTGTTGTTAAGTGAGACATTTGTTAAGTGAGTTTTGCCCCATTTTATGACCTTCCTTGCCACAGCTGTTAAGTGAATCGCTGCAGTTGTTAAGCTAGTAACTCGGTTGTAAAGCGAATCTGGCTTCCCCATTGACTTTGCTTGTCAGAAGGTTGCAAAAGGTGATCACATGACCCCGGGACACAGCAATGGTCTTAAATATGAACCAGTTGCCAAGCGTCTGAATTTTGATCACATGATCATGGGGATGCTGCGAAGGTCATTAACTGTGAAAAGCAGTCATAAATCACTTTTTTCAACGCCGTTGTACCTTTGGACGTTCACTAAATAAACTGTTATAAGTCGAGGACTACCGATATTTCAACCTTCCCCAATCTGGGCATTCTTTAAAGGGGCAGACTGAGCATCCAGCGTTTCTCACTCACCACCACCATCGTTGGAAATTCTAGGACCGTGGTGGTGAACCTATGGCACGCGTGCCATCACCCCAGTCTTAGGCCTTCAGCTGGGTTTTATAAAACCTTTAGCGAAATCCGGAGGCGGCGACACACGTTTTTTTTTTCTCCAAGTTAGTTAAAGTTGAAGAGCGCCCCTTTTTTTTCAAGAGTGTTTCAACCTTAACTAACTGACTTGAAAAATCAGGGTGGGTCAGACGACAATGGTGGCGTCGGTGCGGGTGGGTTTCCCGGTGTGGGTGGGTTACCCGGTCCGGGTGGGCCGTGGGGACGATACATAAGTGGGTTTTGGGTTGCAGTTTGGGCACTCGGTCTCTAAAAGGTTCACCATCACTGTTCTAGGAACTGAAAGGAGCATAAACACACTGGGGAATCTCAGGAGGAGCACTGCACTAGTTGGGCACTGGGAGGAACATTTAAGTGAACCTGACATAAAGCATGCACGTCAAACTGCAATAAAGCAAGACATAAAGTTCCAAGTCAGACCCATTTTTTTCCATCCAGCCCTATTTTTTTCCCCCACTGTTGATCAATGAGCTAATCCTTTTAACTTGCGATGCCAAGAAATGAACTTGGAAACTTCCATATATAGAGCACATGCTGTTATCACTGAACTGTAGTCCCCCCCCAATGAATGTCTAATCTATGCTGAGAAGTAACTATGAGGCAAACCCCCACACACACATTTTTTAACAATTGAATACATGGAATGTTCAAACATGCTGTGCATTTCGATTCCCTGCATCTTTCTAAAGCTTCTTTGTCACTTATTTTGGAAATGGTGATAAAGGTAGGTTGTAAAAAGTTGGGGTGGGAGGTTTAGGAAGAACATGTTTGCGGGCTCATTGGAAACAGTTTATTTCTTAGCTATGAGACAGGTCAGCTGTGTCTAAAGAAATTAATGTCCTACTAGACTTGTAAGCATGTTACACTAACCTCCTGACATCCACCTCCACAATGTGGAATGACTCACTGGGGATTCATTATTTTTCTTCCCGAAGTATCTGCTCTTGTTCTCTTAAGAGGAGTAAAAATATGTGATGGGCCACCCCACACCTCCCAAAACTTCTATATGAAACAAATCCAATATATAAAAACTTCTCATAATGGACAAACACAAAGAAAACTAACTTGGGACCGATTATTTTACTTTACAGGGCTGCAATAACTGAGAGTTCCTTTTGATAGATTTTAGACTGTAAGCTTTCTGCGAACATTCTTGCAACAGACCTGCAGAGTTTCTCCGGTGTTCAGCTAATGCACAGATTTCCTGCAGCTGAGTCTTCTGATCAGCGCTGAGTGGTGCAGTCAACAAATGGTACCAGCCAGCATCTCGGCTTTGTATCGCTGAAAACACAAAATATATTTCTTTCAGGAGACATACAACTTGCCAAATTCCCAGTCTACATCATTAAATCACCATTTTATCAAGCACAGAGACCTACTTTTAAAGTGAGTATACTGAGCCAAGGTTTCTGCTATGTATGAGATAGACTGTTTTAATATTCTTAGTGATGGATCTCAAGTAACAGTTCAGTTGTTCCAACAGCTTTATTTCCAGAAACGTGAACTCCTTTATCAACAGTATTATATCTCCCTGTTGCTCCTAAGTTCTCAGGGCACTTAATTATAGCTTTGGACAGTGAGATGGGGAGTGTATAAATGTAATAAATAAAATAAAAATAAACAAATTATGAAGGGCAATTAAAAGTAGCAAGTTAGCTGAGAAGTAAGGACTTACCCTAAGCCAGCCTCTGAGATTCATAGCAAGATTTGAACTTGAGTTTCTAATATGATTACCCTGCATATAACAGACTTCTCTCCATCTGGCTGATGACTGGCATTTAATGAAATGAGTTTAGTATATACAGAACTGCTTCCTATTGAATACTGGTTAACATTGGAATCCTCTAAATCAGGGGTAGGCAACCTTGGCTCAGGAATTCTGGGAGTTGAAGTCCACGAGTCATAAAAGAGCCAAGGTTGCCTACCCCTGCTCTAGATGTTGCTGCCCTCCCACTGTCATCAGATACAACTAACACTGAGGTTGTATTTCAATAATAATGGTAATGCTACAGGTTTTCCACTGCTGATGCAGGGGTTTATAAATTAAAATTCATTTTTCAAATCAGGTGGATTTTTAAAAAAAAAACCAACCTAAAGATAATAGTAATCTTAGAAAAACCAGAAGTGCTTTAATAAATGTCTATACCTAATAATGCTTGTGTGAAGAACTGATATTCGTCCACGCCATCTTCTAGATCAATAGGGGTGCTGAAGCCTTCTAAAGCAGTTTCTTCTAACGCTTCATCATCCCAGTCGTCATCATCGTCATCATCTTCATTATCGTCATCTCCTGTGTCACCACCACCCCCGGCGTGGTTTTCCTGCATGTCCTGATTTGCTTCATTCGCTTCCTCTTCGTCACTTGGAATCTCTTCTGCAAATATATATATATATATTTTAAAATCAAGAACAAAGAAGACAAGGAAGACAAAGATGTATCTTTTTAACCAAAAGCACCATTTCAAAATTAATGACTCCTCCCTATGAACAAACATTCTTTAAATTACAATCTTGGTAAAGGTTGATCATGAAAACAAATTGCGTTTTTTTAAACCGAAGAAGGCTAGTTTGTGGGAAAAGTCACTTCTGATTAATAGAGCTCTGAAATAAATAACCTTTTCTAGAGAAAACTCTTAATTTTATATATATCAGGTGTGCAGTTATGGGGATAATAACGTATTTGTCTTTCAAAATAAGGAGAAGATTTTTGTCTCACAACTGAGGGAGTCTAATGATGTTGAAAGAATATCATTCTACCTTTAAGAGAGTTAAGAGAGTAACATCTTGGCTAGTCTGATCTAAAGTTTTTTTTTCTAAGAAAATATATATATAAAAGTGCTTGAGAATATTCAGAAATATTTGGAAAATGCAAATCATCTCTCAAGCACAAACGAAATAAATTATAAGTATTTCGCTATTAATAAATGCTCATCACCACAGCCAGGAAACTTATATTTGCTCGTACCATTATCTTCTGCGTCATTCTTTTCAGCTTTCCCATGCTCTTCATGTTCTGCATGTTGCCGGGTGGCGCACATTTGTTTTAGTCCCAGGAATAGGAGGAGAACCGATGGGACGAGCTGGGCAGCCACAGCGTCTACTGCAGGCGGTCTAGACGGCAGTCCCATGAGGATGCTCAGTCCGATGATGCACATCTTCCTGTCATGAAGCCTGAAGGTGCACAATTCACTGATGAGAATCAATCTTCCCAACAGAACAGTTTTCTATAAGTTAGGTGAGGATTGTGAAAAATGAGATCAGAAACATGGATGGATACTCAGTTGAAAGGATAGTTATAGAGCAGTGGTTCTCAACCTGTGGGTCGGGACCCCATTTGGGGTCGATCGACCATTTCACGGGGGTCGCCAAGCAAGGCTGCCCGCCATTTTTTTTGTCCGCCATTTTTTTGTCCACCATTTTTCCCCCTTTTCCGGTGGGTGCCTTACCTCCCTTGGGCTGGGCCAGCGGGTGGTCGGCCTGCTCCGTCTCTGCCGCTTGCTAGCTACGCCTCGGCCGGCGCAGGGGGCGGAACCACGCATGCGTGGCGCTCCCGGGCAGGGAAAGTCCTTGACTTACGACCGGTTGGGTAGTCCTTGACTTACGACCGGTTTAGTCCTCGACTTACGACCGGTTTAGTTCTCGACTTACGACCGGTTGGGGTCACGGCATTAAAAAGGTTGAGAACCACTGTTATAGAGGCTTTTGGGAGAATCCTGAATGGATGTCCCTTTCTTTAAAATCCACTTGGAAAATTCTATTCTAGGTTTTAGTTTTATAAATAAGAACAATGAGGCCCTGGTCACAGCTTTCTTAGTGACAATACCACAATATCAGAAGAAAGGTCATAAAATGGGTCAAAATTCACTTTAAAAATGTCTCACTTAGCAACAGAAATTTCGGACTCAACTGATATTATAGGTTGAGGGCTACCTGTACAAAATGATTTCCTTTTTTATTTTTTAAAGACAAAACATACATTTAATGTCACATACAATCAATAACAAGTGCCAATGACAAGTTGCCCAGCTAATGAAACTCAGCCAAAAGTAAGATCATCACTATTCATACAAAGTAGGACTTGTGAGAAAAATCTTAGTCCGAAGAGAAGCATATCAATTCTATTTTTTCATGCTTGTTCCAAAGGTCACTATGTGGTATTTCATAATACAACAGCAAGCACACCTGAGGGCAGGTAGGAAAGCAAGACAATCCTGGCATTTCCTCTCAAATTAAGGTCTCCAAAACACCTGAAGGTGTTGAAAAAGAAAGCATCACACACCTACCCAAGAAAACAGTCTGTATCGTTCATCCACTGGTTTATAAACTGCGCCGTGATAGGCTCTGGGTTATGAGGAAACCGGATATTCTCTAAAGNTCGCTTTAGGCCTCCGCCGCTGTGTGCAAAAAAAAAAGAGGTTCAATCAATTTCAACTTCTCGCGGGGAAAAAAAAGTTCTCACAAAGTTGGAATTGATTGACTGAACTTTTTAGTCCCACCCAGTCTGCTGTTACCACCGCAGCCACGCCCACCCAAAGGGCCACACCCACCCAATGGGCCAGGCCCACCCGGCACCCAATGATACATAAGTGGGTTTTGGGTTGCAGTTTGGGCACTCGGTCTCTAAAAGGTTCACCATCACTGTTCTAGGAACTGAAAGGAGCATAAACACACTGGGGAATTTCAGGAGGAGCACTGCACTAGTTGGGAACTGGGAGGAACATTTAAGTGAACCTGACATAAAGCATGCACGTCAAACTGCAATAAAGCAAGACATAAAGTTCCAAGTCAGACCCATTTTTTTCCATCCAGCCCTATTTTTTTTCCCCCACTGTTGACCAATGAGCTAATCCTTTTAACTTGCGATGCCAAGAAATGAACTTGGAAACTTCCATATATAGAGCACATGCTGTTATCACTGAACTGTAGTCCCCCCCCAATGAATGTCTAATCTATGCTGAGAAGTAACTATGAGGCAAACCCACACACACACACATTTTTTAACAATTGAATACATGGAATGTTCAAACATGCTGTGCATTTCGATTCCCTGCATCTTTCTAAAGCTTCTTTGTCACTTATTTTGGAAATGGTGATAAAGGTAGGTTGTAAAAAGTTGGGGTGGGAGGTTTAGGAAGAACATGTTTGCGGGCTCATTGGAAACAGTTTATTTCTTAGCTATGAGACAGGTCAGCTGTGTCTAAAGAAATTAACGCCCTACTAGACTTGTAAGCATGTTACACTAACCTCCTGACATCCACCTCCACAATGTGGAATGACTCACTGGGGATTCATTATTTTTCTTCCCGAAGTATCTGCTCTTGTTCTCTTAAGAGGAGTAAAAATATGTGATGGGCCACCCCACACCTCCCCAAATTTCTATATGAAACAAATCCAACATATAAAAACTTCTCATAATGGACAAACACAAAGAAAACTAACTTGGGACCGATTATTTTACTTTACAGGGCTGCAATAACTGAGAGTTCCTTTTGATAGATTTTAGACTGTAAGCTTTCTGCGAACATTCTTGCAACAGACCTGCAGAGTTTCTCCGGTGTTCAGCTAATGCACAGATTTCCTGCAGCTGAGTCTTCTGATCAGCGCTGAGTGGTGCAGTCAACAAATGGTACCAGCCAGCATCTCGGCTTTGTATCGCTGAAAACACAAAATATATTTCTTTCAGGAGACATACAACTTGCCAAATTCCCAGTCTACATCATTAAATCACCATTTTATCAAGCACAGAGACCTACTTTTAAAGTGAGTATACTGAGCCAAGGTTTCTGCTATATATGAGATAGACTGTTTTAATATTCTTAGTGATGGATTTCCAGTAACAGTTCAGTTGTTCCAACAGCTTTATTTCCAGAAACGTGAACTCCTTTATCAACAGTATTATATCTCCCTGTTGCTCCTAAGTTCTCAGGGCACTTAATTATAGCTTTGGATAGTGAGATGGGGAGTGTATAAATGTAATAAATAAAATAAAAATAAACAAATTATGAAGGACAATTAAAAGTAGCAAGTTAGCTGAGAAGTAAGGACTTACCCTAAGCCAGCCTCTGAGATTCATAGCAAGATTTGAACTTGAGTTTCTAATATGATTACCCTGCATATAACAGACTTCTCTCCATCTGGCTGATGACTGGCATTTAATAAAATGAGTTTAGTATATACAGAACTGTTTTCTATTGAATACTGGTTAACATTGGAATCCTCTAAATCAGGGGTTGGCAACCTTGGCTCAGGAATTCTGGGAGTTGAAGTCCACGAGTCATAAAAGAGCCAAGGTTGCCTACCCCTGCTCTAGATGTTGCTGCCCTCCCACTGTCATCAGATACAACTGTGGTTGTATTTCAATAATAATGGTAATGCTACAGGTTTTCCACTGCTAATGCAGGGGTTTATAAATTAAAATTCATTTTTCAAATCAGGTGGATTTTAAAAAAAAAAAAACAACCTAAAGATAATAGTAATCTTAGAAAAACCAGAAGTGCTTTAATAAATGTCTATACCTAATAATGCTTGTGTGAAGAACTGATATTCGTCCACGCCATCTTCTAGATCAATAGGGGTGCTGAAGCCTTCTAAAGCAGTTTCTTCTAATGCTTCATCATCCCAGTCATCGTCATCGTCATCATCTTCATTATCGTCATCTCCTGTGTCTCCACCACCCCCGGCGTGGTTTTCCTGCATGTCCTGATTTGCTTCATTCGCTTCCTCTTCGTCACTTGGAATCTCTTCTGCAAATATATAATAATAATAATAATAATAATAATAATAGTAAAGTTGGAAGGGACCTTGAAGGTCATCTAGTCCAACCCCCTGCTCAGGCAGGAAACCCTATACCATTTCGGACAAATGGCTGTCCAGTCTCTTCTTAAAAACTTCCAGTGTTGGAGCATTCACCGCTTCTGGAGGCAGGTTGTTCCACTGGTTAATTGTTCT